AAAGGTAGTAACAATAGACATGAACTTGGCTTTTACAGGAGAGCTGGGACACAGTAAATTTCAGCCCTTCTTTTTCCCCCCCAGTCACTGTTCTCAAAAGAAGTTGGTTGTGCAGCCAGTTAACTCGCTCACGTGCTAGTCAAAGGCTGAAGGTTTTTAAATCCACTCAGACAAGCCTCAGGGGAAAAGACCTGGTAACTAACTGCCCCCAAACCAGCGACTGAAAACCATGTGTGTTTTCTAAAGGAGTATTTAGTAGTCTCAGTAATTAAATAAGTTCTAGTAATAGTTTTAACAAAACCACCACCCAAAAATTTCATAGAGCACAGTTCTATTTTACCACACATTCCGTCACTTTGAGTTGGCAACAAACAGCTGGCCAGGGGTTGGAGGACGTGGAGGAGGTTGAGCCTTAACAATTTTTATGAAGATAAGTAAGAAGGGAGAGCCGGGGCACAGCACGTGTTTCAAACCCGGTAACCCCTTTACTCTTAGGTTCTCTAAAAGAACCTCTTAGAGGAATATTGGTACAAAGACACGTGGAAATGTCCAAGGTCTACCGGGCCAACAAATGTTGAAAGGAGACAAGGACCTTACCCACAAGCTAACAAATAGAGGGAATCTTCCCCTAGAATTGGCATTCTAAATTTGGATGTCCAGTCTCTAAAACTATGAGAGTAAATTCATTGTGAGAGATTGAGACACATCACTCACATATTGCCACGGAGTTGGAACCAATTCATAGCTGACCCTTCAGCAGGTTTTTAGACAGGCTCATCACACTGATTATCCATCTCTCTCCTAAGCTGCTGACGGATGGGAACTGCCAGAGGCACAGGCCTTCTTTTAGGCTATCAGTGCAACCATCTATGTCCTAGGCCACCAGAGCTTTTACACACACACACACACACACACACACACACACACACACACCCGTACCCTGTGACTCAGCAATTCTACTTCTAGAACTACACACATGGAAACATGGAAAGGTTTTCTATGTATTTTCTTTTTCTGTACACTTGTTCAATTTTCTGAAGATTATATATAATGAACATAATAATTTAATAACATAAAAGGGGGGGAATTAGGACAGTGTTGGCTATTACCAACCCTGAATCAAGATTTCAACCTATCCCTCTGAAGCTGATTCAAAATTGGCATAAAGGTTTTATTACAAAAGAACAATGATAGCATTTCACAGAGGTTTTTGCTCTTAAGACTCTAGTAAATTATTTGATTAATCTTTAACCTTCAAAGACAAAATAAAAGTACTGGCTTTGGGCTGAACTTACCCTTTCCATTGATAAGGCTGTTAATATATGTGTACGTGGTTTGCTGTAAGCCAAACAAGCATGACAGAGGAAAAGGCCTGCCCTAAAATGAGAACTTTTTTAAAGGGTATGAGGAATGACAACAGCCAGCAACAGGAAATAAGGCAATGTGTAGGCCCCAAGCATGCAAAAAAATGTAGTCATTAAAAGTTTAGGTGATACAGAAATATTAAAGGAAGAAATGAGAGAGGATCCATATTGTATTTGGTATATGCATAGGTGCTGAATTTAAAATCTGAAGTACAATGCAATTCTAAGAATGTGGTTACTTTCAAAATGATGGTTCAACCTAAGTGCCCATCAACAAAGGAATGGACAGAGAAGCTGTGGTATATTTATACAATGATGGAATACTACACTGCATTGAAAAACAAGAAACTCATGCAATATTATTCAAAATGGGTGACCCTCGAGGACATTATGCTGAGGGCAATATCTCAGTCACAAAAGGACAAACACTGCATAGTGCCACTGTTGTAGAATGGTACTGACAGGGTTGGGGTAAGAATGAGAAAAACTGGACAAATTATGTATACTGCATTGAAATGGATGAAGGAGAGAACAGTTCACACGCAATATATTATATGGTATTATGATTATCATAAGAGTTTGGAATGAAGGTTGCAGAGTGGAGTATACTCGGGGCCGTGGGGTGGGTGTGTACAGGGGGACTGTATACCAATGAAAAGAATTTTTCTTTTACTTTTGGAAAAGAGTGAACTGAGGGTGAGAGGGGTGGGTAGGGAGAAAAGTGCAACAATGAATGAATGGAAATCCAAAATCTCTGTAAATGTTCATTAAAATTAATTAAAAAAAGAAGAAAAAAAAATGGTTCCATATAAAGAACCAAAACTATTTCCTTTTGTTTTTGCAGGTAAAAAGAGGCCATTATGGAGTTCAAAGGACAGAACTCTTGCCTGGTGACCGAGACAACCTGGCCATTCAGACTCGAGGTGGCCCAGAAAAGCATGAAGTAACTGGCTGGGTGCTGGTGAGTGGCCAGAGCAGCCAGAACTTCATTCTGCAGATTAGACCAAGGGGCCCAGTGCATTACCCTCTGGGTACCTGCCCAGAGCGGCCTTTCCATATGGCTGTCACTCCTCTTTGAGAAGTAGAGGAGGGGATGATTTAGAAACAGTGCATAAACAATCACTGATACTCTCCTCTCCACCCCCTACCCTCAAGACTCCTCACAAGGAACTAAATGACCCAAGTCTCAATTATTTTTACCAATTATTGATGAGTAATTATTATTTAACTTCCTCTTTGGTACTCCACACTCCCAAAGGCATTAGGTCTTTTGTTCACAGAGTCGCTATGAGTCACGCTTGACTCGACAGCAGTCAACAACAACAACTTTGGTACTCCTGGATAGTACTCAGATCTAATGTCCTATCCCAAGGTCTCCTTCAAACTGATATGCCTATCTATCCAGTTTCTTTAACTTTGCAGTGTGATCAAGTTACGGCATTTTTCTCAGTCTGAACTGTCCAGATCTTCCTAATAGCTGTATCAAAGTCTCTTAGCAGAAAAATCTGCACAACTTATGCTAGATTTTTAATTGTAATCTCAGGAAAAGATTTACAGAGCCAGTTAGTTTCCCATTCAATAATGCATATATATTTTGTCTCGTAATAATGATTACAAGCTCCACTTTATAACAGCACTATTCCCACTTCCTCCCTGTGTTTCTTATTCCCAGTTATCCTCCTTTCCCATCCCTTCCCACCTTCTCAGTTTTAGCCCTGAGCAAAGGCTCTGATTGTTCTATGGCATGAGTACTTCTTTGGTATTAGAGTTCACTTTGTAGCTCTGTTGTGCGGCTGGAAGCTGAGTCATGGGAGTTCAATTCCAGGCTGGAAGAGTGATTAAGGGCCATAGTCTAATGGGTTCTGCCAGTTTTGTTCCACATTTCCCCCACCTCTATCAAGGACCTTTATTTTGCCTTCTTTCACAATTTACAAATTACAAATTTCACAAATTAGCTTGGGAAATAAAATATGACTTTACTGAGAATACTGGAAAGCACTAGGGATAACCACCAGAAAAGAACTGAAAAAAAGCCTTCTCTCTCATAGGTATCTCCTCTAAGTAAAGAAGATGCTGGAGAATATGAGTGTCATGCGTCCAATTCCCAAGGCCAGGCTTCAGCATCAGCAAAAATCACGGTGGTTGATACCTTACATGAAATACCAGTGAAAAAAGGTGTGTAATAAATCCCTCAGCCATTTAAAATTACTGCTTTTGCTTAGGAAAGAACAGAACCAAGTGTGAAAGTAGTAGCAGACACAGTTATTAACCAGTTTCCCTAATGTTAATATTCCATACAGCATTAAGTATGCCATCAAAATGGAGAGTTCAGTCTCCAGAAGAACATTTGGATAGATGGAAGTAATCCATTATTATGACTTAAGATACTCTCTCTCACACACAATTCAAATCCCAAATTTGACTGGAGTAGCTTAACATTTTCCATAATGTTCTATCAACATGGCACTTTTCCTTTATGTTGTGACTATTACACTACAGTCCCATTTACAAGGAAATGATTCTGGGAAATTCTGGTTCTTCACTCTGGGCTTTTTATAAGAAAAAAAAATATCCCTGAAAAGAGCATATACTTACTAACAAGAGTCCAATTCTGCTCTGCACCTACTTTGCTGCTAAAAGCTTCCTCATAAGCACACATCAAGCCTGTATCCATCCCCACAATACTGTTTTACATCCATATAGTTCTATGAGATTGATGTCTGAATTGGTTTCACTTAACTCAAAAATAAAAATCATTTGCCACATCATGCCATCGTGAGGACCACTCAGCTGTGATGTAAAAGAAAATTATCAAGTAAAGATGTATGGTCAGGTTCTCTTCAGCTAAGACATTATAAAACCAGGAGAGGAAACAAGCCAGTTGGAGCAGTGGCTAAGAGCCATGTCATTATCCGAGTTTCATCCTGAATGAGAGCTGGGTGACACTGGAAAGCTTCCTCAGACTCTCAAGACCTCATCATGCCTGCTTGTCAAAGTGCTCTTCCAGTTTTACACAGTAAAAATGAAAACTGGAACCTGTGTGAAAGGAACACAAGTATTTTCTTCTAGTAGAGAATGAAAAAAAATGCAGTCTGTATCCTTCCTATCAAAGGCAGAAACCTTATGAGACCTGGAAAAGCAATGTCACGTTCTGGTTTGCATAGGTTTCACTATACAAGAAGGTCCATGTGTTACAGATGGATCAATATAGTAAAATGGTCTTCCAAATCTAAAATCTTAAAACTCAGACTGCATAGAGCACTTCAATATATTACTATAACTACTCATTTATCCTTTATCCTATTTTTAACATATTCATTTGAAAACACAAAACTGCCTGCAAATTAAGAAGTCAGCCAGACCAGTTAATAACTGATTTTCTCTTTTTCAACAGGTGAAGGTGCTGAGCTATAAACCTGCAAAATATACTTGTCTGCACACTTAAGTTAGTCATGGATAACTACCACCCCTGTTCTTGTTTAACAACTAGCTTCTTTTAATCCAGTCCACTAACACTTTCATTATATTCACTGGTTTTACACAGGAAATTACAAAATAAAGATAACATATCAATACTATCCACAAAAATTTTATTGTTTATTTACAAAACAGAGAGAGAAGCATGCATAATGAAACAAAAAAGACCTACTAAACACTCATCATTCGAGGTGCAATACTCATAGACATAAGTTCCTGAAATAACAGTTTGCACGCATAAGGCATTCGAACCAAGGAAATCTGAAAAGAAAAAGCAAACAGTAATTAACAAAGCAAAACTGGTGTGACCTACTTCTCTACTCCAGAAAAAGGTTCTACAGATGATGAATGAGGGGTGGGAAAGGTCATCCTGCTACCCTGGCTAGCTGTTCATCCTCCTCACAGCCTCTCATACTTCATTCACCCTTTCTGGCAGACATAAATTCTATTTATCCTCCTCACCTAAAAAGGTTTAAGGAAGATACGGTTTGGAATATGCTGCTTCCACAGAATATAGCCTTGGAAACTCTGTGGGGCAGCTCTGCTGTCTTATAGGGCAGCAGGAGTCAGAATCAATTCAACAGAGAAATTACCACACGAAAACTGGGTTTTTTTTTTTTAAAAAAAATTTTTCCTCATTTTAAAAAAAGACTCTTTCAGAGGGCGTGCTTTTGAAATTGGTAAAAAGTTTAGTGAACTAGATGATCAGGCTAACACTGTCTTACTCTAAAGTAACCATAAGGGTTATACGTACCTGGGTTTTATTACGGCAGCCTCTACATTCATACGTGTGGGTCCTGGTGTTAGCAATGGCCATTATTCCACAAAGATTGCAAACATGAACCTGATAGGGATCTGAAGCCTCAAATAATCGTTCTCTTAAAAACTGGGCTGCTCCATGAGCAATCTGACAGTCTCGTTCCATTTCTCCAAAACGTAAGCCACCATCTCTGTTAAGAAAAAAACCCAACAGACTGTTTTGTACTTATTTTCTATTTTAAACATCGCCTCATCTAAAGTCAACAGTCAAGATCTTACCAGTCAAGAAGAATTGGGCTCTACTTCTGTACTGTGGCATGCTTGCTAATTTGGAAAGTTTAACTATTTAATGTGTATCACAAGATCCTCAAATGCCATGAATCTCAAGAACACTACGTAAGTTCCCTCCTAAACACAATAAAGTACAGAGGAGAGTATCACCATGATAGCATTTAGCCATGAGTTTCCACACACACAAGCCTGAAATTACCAGTGCATGTTTCAAAAAATTACAAGTAACAGGAACAACAGATAAATGACTGCATGTTTCCAGCACAGATGTGAAATGAACTGTTTAGATGAATGGGCAGGCGGATGGAGGTAATGGCTAGGGATGGCTCTTGACATTCTTAATACACAAAATACATCAAATATGCTTAAATCACAGAGCTTTATAATGATTTTACTTTTTTTCCCCCAATTACTGGTCACCTTTAGAGAATTCTGGGGAACCAATTCTTCATATTGAAAACTTAATAAAAAAATAAAAGAATTTATCCTGCCCTTCCTATACAAATTCTATCACCAGAAAAATCCAACAGCTACAGAGACAGTTGTCTCCACAGAAGGATCCTAGCTAATAAAAAAATTACAAAATTAAGACTCTGAACAGTTTGAATCCCTATTTAACTAAAGGCTCTAGGCAATAATTATTACTAGCATAAAAGAAAAAGCAACAAAATATGGCAAGTACACATGACCAAGGAAGAATTAACTGCCAAAAACCCTCCAAGTCTTAAATCTCGTCCTGCCTTTAGCTCTAATGAACCATTTAGAAGAAAACTGGGAGGCAGAAAAAGATGGTATAAATAATGCAGAAGTAACAATCCATCTGAATTTTCCAGCAACTAAATTATAAGGGGGAAAAAATTAACACATTTCTGATGACACCAGTGAAAGCATTAACTAATAGGAGTTTTTTTCCCCTGACTTAATAAACTTTTCTGATTACCACTGGTGAAAGCATTAACTAATGTCATTTCCCCCCTCCCCTTATCCTGGAAAAAAACTGTTATCATTCAATTCAGTGAACAAATATCTTCTAAACGAATTTTCTAAAGTATTACATTCCAAAATTATGCATGTGTAAAATATCCATTCAGAGTATACAATCCAATTGATTTTAACATATCAAGCATAAAAATTCTAAAGATTTTAATGAGTACAAAAATATTCCACACTGAAATTAACCTTTAAAAAACTAACACCTGTCAAGTTTTGGTGTAGCATCCAAGAACACCTACGTGTATCTGAAAAGGTTATTAAAACACTTCTCCTTTATCCAATCACTTCTCTGTTGAGAGGCCAGACTAACCTCATGTACTTCCAACAAAAATAATGTAAGAAGCATACACAAGAGCCCAGCTATATTTTGTAAACTAGCTCAGTAAAAAGCATAAAGAATGTAAACCAATCTTTACATTTTCAATAAAAATGTTATCTGGTTAATATGGTTTATTTTTCATATAAGATGTTATTTATTTTATTAAGTAAAAAGTCTGTCTTATTTTTCAATAAAATGATACACTAAATTGTTTATGCTAAATATTGATATAATTCACATAAACAAGTTTGATATTTGAGGTCCTGAAATAAAAAAAAAATTTGAGGACTTCTCTTTTATAGATACATAATAATGTATTTACAAAAGAAATGATGGTATCTGGGCTTTACTGAGGACTTCTCTTTTATAGATACATAATGTATTTACAAAAGAAATGATGGTATCTGGGCTTTACTTTTTTTTTTTTAAATCTGGGCTTTACTTAAAAATCATCTGGGAGTTCTAGAAAAAGAGACGAGTGAAACAAGACCGGCCATGAGTTAGTAATCTGCTGATGCAGGGGCTTATTATACCATTCCATTCTGTATGTGTTTCACATTTCCTATAATAAAAGGCTAAATGACAGTATTGATGCATCTCTTACCGAGATCTACCTTCCATGGGCTGTCTATTAAGGATCTGAATAGGTCCTCTAGCACGAGAATGAATCTTATCATCTACCATATGCTTCAAACGCTGGTAATAAGTGGGGCCAATAAAAATTTGTGATGTGATTTTTCGACCAGTGAATCCATTATACAGGACCTAAAAACAGATTTTAAAACATAAGAGTTGAAAACATCAAGTTAAAGATGCACATGCTATCTATATCTGATTTTATTTTCTGTTATGAACACCACAAATAAAACTAACCTAGTGGTTCGAAGTCAACATAGTGGTTACTTTTTCAATTCTTACTATTTTTATTGGTTTGCACACAGTAATTTGTTTATACTGTTTTCATTCATGGAAACTGTTGGTAGTAATTACTCTCAGAGAGTAATGAGGTAACGAGAGAGCATATTAGAAGGCTTCTAGCAGTACAGCGTTCTGGTTTTCCCCCTCCCCCAAAACTGGGTTCTAGTCATATAAGAATATTTACTTTGTAAAAATTCACCAAAGCATGCATTACATTATGATTTGTACACATATTTAAAGTATGTATTACATTTTTTTAAATTAAGCCAACCATACCAAAAAAGAATACATGTAATAAATCATATAAATGCAAAGATACCTACCTCATTTCCTCTGAGATGGTAGCCATATTCAGATAAAAGGTTAGAGATCTTCTGCACATTGACAGCATCATTAAATGGAGTGGCATCACCAATTTCACCCTTATTAGCAGATACCTTACAAAAAATATTTGTACTTAAAATAGTGCTTTAAGACAAAAACCTTTTCTATACATGGAAAGATTATGAACTTAAAATCCATGTTTGGAGAGCTGTGATACCTTAAAGTTTATCTTATTAATATTGTACACAAACTCTTTGTAACAAGCTCATTCACCTAAACAGAAAGACAACTCATTTCTAATAAGCCTCTAAAAGGAAGCCATCCAAGGGAGCAGGCTCACCTTTTTAATGTCCTGAAACCAAGCCACTCATATTTTGGACTGGAACTAGTCTATCTTAAGAAGATACTATAAAGCAGAAAACCTTCACACTGAAAAATGTTCACATACCTAGTACTTTATATAATAAAGTTCACAATGAACTAACTACCAATTAATTCTTCATATATAGAAAAGAATTAGAGATAATTGTGTACGTATGTAGATGTTAGATGTAGTAAAGTTTACCCCAAAGCAAGCATAATCATAACAAATTTAAAAGTAGAAAGAAAGAAAAAACACATTTTTTCCAAAGAAATTCTGGCTCAGGAAGGAGATAAACCACTTATCTATTTTCAAAGAGACATCAATTTGAGCATATACATTTTTAAAGAAACTTACCTTTCCTTGCAGGCATTCAATCAAGTGACCAATAGTCATACGAGAGGGGATGGCATGGGGATTTATGATGATGTCAGGGGTGATACCCTCACATGTAAAAGGCATGTCCTGCAACAGAAGGGAAATTTTGAAAGGAGACTTAAAGAAATGCAGCCTTCTTAATCTTCGCTACAACACTAAAAATTAGAATTGATCTCAAACTAAACTTCTGAGTTTTCTGACATCTGCTAAACATGGTGGTTATATGCTTATTAAAGACTAAAATCTTTACCAATTTTGAGGTCTTAAGTTAAAACTGTATTAAAATTTTAATTTCATAAATATTCAACCAAATTTTAAGTTAGAAGGGAGGGAGATAAAACACGTACCTCTTGTCTATACTGAATACCACAAGTCCCCTTCTGACCATGTCGACTAGCGAATTTGTCCCCAATTTGAGGAATTCTAACAGAGCGAACCTGAACACACAAAGATGTAGGTCAGTTGAGTCTATGTGGTTTGGTTTCTCTAAGTATCAACATGAACAAAGCTGTACTCACCCTTATTTTACAAAATTTATATCCTTCCTGGTTGAGAGTTACCATCACCTGATCCACAATACCCGTCTCACTAGTTCTGAGGAAAGTGCTACAATCCCTCTTCGTGTAGCGTCTATTCGTACTCTCCAGTTCATCCTCATTTTCAGGTAAGGTGACTGTTTTGCCAATGATCACATCATCTCCTGACACACGAACCCCAGGAGCTATCAGACCATCATCATCTAGCTTGTCATAAATGGCATGCCTCATACCTGCAAAGAGATGTGAAATTTTTTAAATGGTATTGCCATATAAAAATACTAAAAACTACAATCATCAATCACTGCCAAGTCAGAGAGAAGTCAAAGGAATCTCTATCACCATAGTGTTTAATAATATTAATTAAAAAAAATTAATTCCCTTCTACAAATACTTTAACTAACTGAATTCTAATATTACAATCTACAAGGACAAACCACTGGACTGAATGTGAGATATTTAAGTTTTCTCATGAACACAGTGCTGGGTGGCAGAATAAATGCACTACCAGTTTCTGATCTCTAAATGACATGAAAAAGCTGTCTATATCCTCTATATACATCTCACATACATTCTGAATTTCATCTTATATGCTCTTAAACTCATTGGATAGCAATTCATTACTATACAATGCAATGCTATTAGGAGTTTGGAGGTTTTTTAAATAAATTTTTATTTTGTACTGCTTTACGTTCCAAGTTCTCACACCGGATCTTTCTCATCTCCTTCACCCACGTCCCTTCACCCATCATACTATATCACACTATGATTAAACCTCCCCCCAGCCTTTCCACTCTGCTCCCACCCTCCTCTCCTTGGATCCTCACACAGGATCAACAATAATGGTCCTATACAATATTCGTCCCCATGGTATTGTACCAGTTTACCCAGCACAATACTCTCCAGCCTCTCTCAAGTTAGGTAGTAATTTACAAAATCATTGCTCCTGGATGCTGTGCAGCACTCCACCATGTGAATATACCACAATTTCTCAGTCCATCTGATTGCAGCTGGAACTCTAGGCCACTTCCATGTTAATGCAATGGTGAATAACGCTGCTATGAATATTGGTATGCAAGTCTCTTTTTTGTGCCTCAGTTTTCATTTTTCCGGGGTATATGCCAAGCAGTGTTAATAGCTGGGTCATATGGAATTTTTATGTTCAGCTTGAGGAAATGTCAAACTGCCTTCCAGAGTGGTGGCATCATTTTACAATATCCCACCAACAGTGTATAAGAGTTATTAGGAGTAAAATTTGAGCAAAGATATCCCATTTCTCTAGGACATCTTGTTTATCCCACTGTTTATACTGTCCTTTAATTGTGAAAATAAAGCACAACAAAATAATAAGTGTCTTTTTTAACAAATGCTGGATACTTCTGCTTATTCTTAAATTATTATACTGTAGCTCAACAAAAACTAGAGTCACACTACACTACATACACTACACTACACTTTAGGGCAGAGTACAAGTATGAAGAGGCTCTCAGGAGTGTCCCATGAAATTATGTAACATCTGATTTCCAAAATATTCTACTCAATGCAGGACTTACCAAGAAAAAAAGGGCACCAAGTCCACTCTTAGATGCAAATAATCTTGGCAAATAGTGTTTTTAAATCTGAGTTTTTAAGAATGACATAGGAGCACTGGTGGTACATTGGCTAAGTACTTGACTACGAAATGAAAAGCTTGTACTTTGAACCCACCAGCTTCTCGTTCTATGGGAGAAAGATGTAGTAGTCTCCATCTGGAACGATTACAGAAAACTTCAAAACACTATATACAGCAGTTGTACTTGGTCCTAAACAATCATTATGAGTCAAAATTAACTATCTAGCATGGGGTCTTTTGGTTCAGAATGACACAAAAAATTTCACATGGTAAAACCAAAACAAACAGAGCAGAAGTAATTAAAGTCATTGGAAGTTACCTTTGAGTTCCATAATTAAATGTCAGTATCACTTACCCTGGCATGTTTCACGTGTAGGCTTCTCAAAAACTTCTTCTTGATCAAATCCTTTTTTAGACTCCTGTTCTTTATAAGACCGGTAAAAAACAGACCTAAAAGTAGATGGTTAAAAAATGTAACGTGTTTCCTTTAATAAAAGAGCTTAAATATATCTATAATTTTCACTTCATTAAAATCTGAAACACAATTAAAACCATGAACCTGAGACAAAGAGAACTAGTGAGAATCAGAAAGTTAAATCCTAAATGCTGTCACACTGGCTACACAGGGTAGTATATTATCCATAACCTGGACGCCTTAACCCCTTACATAACCACCTCAGAGCTGCATAAACTGTCCACTAGTCTACTATTGTGTGTACACACACGTGCACACATCCTCTCTTAAATTCCAAGGGGTTTTTTTCTTTCTTTTCCTTGTTGCTTTCTAATGCTGTATTATACAATACATAGCATTATGCATGTAATATTATCTGTGTCCCTACCCTAAATAAGTCTTAGTCTGGAAGCTCAGCTGAAACCTGTCCACCATGGGTGACCCTGCTGGTGTTTGAAATACTGGTGGCACAGCTTCCAGCATCACAGCAACATGCAAGCTACCACATGTTTTTGTTTTGCGTGGTTTTTCAGCCTAACAATCCTAAATCACGGATTTGAGATCAATTTGTATGTCATACCACCACACTAAAATGGGGGGGAGGGAACCCATTAACACCGATGTAATAAACACTGTGAAGAGAATGTTGTTGTTGCTGTTATATGCCATCGAGTCGCTTGCGACTCATAGCGACCCTATGTACAACAGCCCTAAACTCCGCTCTGTCCTGTGCCAATCGCACTGTCTCTGACACTCCCATCCCAATTATCCCAGTCACTGAATCAATCCACCTCATAGAGGGCCTTCCTCTCCTGCACTGTCCCTCCACCCTCCCAAGCATGATGTCCCTCTCTAAGGACCAGTCTCTCCTCACAACATGTCCAAAGTATGTTAGACGAAGCCTCAGAATCCTTGCCTCCAAGGAGCCACCCGGTTTAACCCTTTCCAGGACTTAAAAGTTCTAAAATCATGGATTTATTTGTATTTTTTAGGTGTTTCTATATTATCTAAATGCAAACACGTATCTGCATGTAAAACGGCAAAAAGTGGCAAAAGGAAGCCCACTATATTAGCATAAAAAATGTAAATATACAAGGAGGTTTTACAAAAAGCTGACCTGAAAAAGCCTCGGTCTACAGCTGAGCGGTTCATGATAACAGAGTCTTCCTGATTATATCCAGTGTATGATGCAATAGCCACAATTGAGTTGATACCTGAAGAGCATTTAAGAACAGACATTAAAATATCATCTGGAAAACTGCCTCTTTCTCTTAAATCCATTTTATTTAGCAACAAGTGACTGGCATGTTTTTGTCATAGAACTGTCTACTCCTTTAGGAATAACAATGTGGGAGGCAATTACTCTGCTACCTAAATGTTTTAATACATGCATCACAAACTAGTCATTCCCAACATATCCATTTTTATAAGTGATGATATGTGCAAGTCACTTCATATTTTATAAGTACATCCCCAAACAACCTTTCATGATCATCACATTAAACCTGGTACCATAAACAAAGTAAACATAATTTTCATAAATCAGCCAAGACCTAACTAGGGACCTCTGGTGGCCTAGTAGCAAAAAGCTGCACTGCAATCCTAGAGGTATGCAGTTCGAATCCACCAGATGCTCTGCTGTAGAAGGAGGGGCTATCTCTACCTGTACCAGTCAGATCTGATTTGATGGTACACACAAATAATAATAATAAAAAAAAAGACTTAACTAGTCTGTCAAAGTGAGTAACTGAAGGCATCAAGTCCTACCTTGTCTCGTGATTGGCTGATTTGAACCCAGCCCTCCTAGTTCCCAGGAGCAAATCCCACTGACCTCAAAACTTATCTAAATTATCTGACATCTCATATAAATGTAAATTAAAACACAAAACTTCCAAGTAGTGTTCCTAACAGTTTTTCCTTAACTTAGAAGTCCCAATTCAAGAAACTATGTAGTGAAGAGAAAAACGCCTGCTTCTGGTCAAAAGGGGGGAAAAGAACATAAGCTTTTGAACAAGACTAGGGTTTAAATTCCAGTTTGACATATTTCTAACTGTGTAACCTTGAGTAAGTGAGTTAACCTTTCTTCCTGTTTCCACATTTGTAAAATGGCATGATAAACCTCTGGCATTACTTATCAGTTTACACTTCTTCCTCCCATTCTAAAAGACATCATGTCATGAGTTTTAAGTAGACTTGAACTATTATTTTCATTTTGCAGGTGAAGAAAAAGTAAAATTCTCATGCTTCATAGATTAACACATGCAAGTACTTTGGATGGAATTTTGCATAGCTCAATAATAATGATTCATAACTCTGTTAAAAATACTTATCTAGGAGAGCAAGGGGCAGCAAAACAAATCAAACCCCTTGTTACACAGAGTTGGTTCTGATTATGACTCACAGAAACCCTGCAGAACATAACAGACCTGCCCGGTAGGGTATCCTAGGCTGTGAATATGCATGAAAGCAGACATCTTTCTCCCATGCTGCAGCTGGCTGGTGAGTTCAGCTAGTAGGCAAACAATGAACTACTGTACCACCAGGGCTCCTCTCAAGGAATAGAACTCTGTGAGTACAGGATTACAATCCACCTGTCAGCCAAATCTAAGTATCCATCTGAGAACTCCTTTCAGTTGCTTTATCTTTACCACATTTTGAGCACTGAGGAGCTCTAAAGTCCCTACCATACTTTAAGTTGAGGCTAACTTTTATCACAAGGTCCACTGCTCTCGGAGGGTATCGTAATCACATGATAAAAGTTTAAATACTAGTAATGAAAGAACTGGTAGCCTGTGCCTCCTGCTACAATGCACTGAGAGCATGGCATCCTTTCTGTGCTGGTACTGAAGAGACAATATAACTGGACTGAATGTTAAAAAAATATCACAACCAAGAAAAACAAAGGAACCGCTGAAACAATTTCAGTATATATGCGTAAATACACATGGAAAAGCTGAACGGTAGTGTGGTTTCATGTCTGCACTCTACTCTCAAATGGATGAGGAAAGAAGAGCATATATGAAAAATTATTAATTGCAAGGCAATCTAGATGGATGGCTTATGTAAATTTGAAATTACTACAAAATAAAGTTTTTGTTTAAAAAACTGTATTGCTTGAGGCATGAAAAAAGAGCAGTTCTGAAATATGCATGCAGCCAGTATCAGATATGCCCTCATCACTAAAGGAACATTTTCTTTCAAATCCAATCCTTCATCTGCTTTTTTCCCCCTCCTAAGAAACTATCATTTAAATGTTAGAAGAAAACTCAGCACTGCAAGTATAATTTAGATATGAGCACAATGTACAGACCCTCACAGATATTTTTTTCCTAGACTAGAGTAACCTCTTGTGGAGGACTTTGAAAACAAAGAATTCTAACCTATGAAAAATTTCTAGCAAAATGTTAGAACCCCAAGGAACTTTGGTGGTGTAACTGTGTTGCACTGCTAACCAAAATGTTAGGACCCTGTTAACGCTACTAACAGCCAACATGCAAGGCCAACTTTACCAAATACCACTAATCAAGTCGTTACCCAAACTCAGGCAAAATTCTACTAACAATATTGTGAGATAACAGTGCTCAAAACTATACTATCTCCTTTTAAGAGTTAACAGTTTCATACCCTTCCACGTTCTCTGCACCATTTTACCTAATGTCCAGTCAGTCTTCTTGAATCTTCTGTAAACTTGTCTCCTCCTTATCTGCTACTTCTCACATGTTCTCTCCTGATTTTTTTTCTGTATGTCCTTAATGAAGTGCCTAAAGTTCCGTCTGTCTGTCTGTTGCCCTTTTTACAAACTAAATTCTCCCTAAGAAATATCATAGTATCGCCAACATTAAGACAGTAAAAGCATCATAATTCTAGACTTCACTTTCTTTCAAATCGTATTTGCAACTCCTTGGTAGAAGAGCACTTCAAAGATGTCCTGGCAGGAACTCAAAATTCAACACACCAAAACAAATCATCTTACCTCTGTAACCCTTCTAATGTGCTCCCAATTTACTAATACCACCTCTAGAGTCACCCAAGTCATAAGTACCATCAATACTGTACTGTCCTCTTTATCTTGGTCATAGCAAATCATTCAATAGGTCTATCCCAAAAGGTACTGCAAAATCATTCTCTTCTGCTTCCAAAGGACCTCACCTTTCCTCATTCAGATTACTGCAAACTAAAAACTTCCATTACTAATCTAAAGGCCATGCCCCCCTCTGATGGTTTAAATTCTTTAGTAGGTTCTTGGGATAAATATAGACAATATCCTGTGTGATTTACAGCTTTGGAAAGTCAATGGCGGGTAAGCTGAGTTGGTTCTGACTCAAGTGAAATTTGACAATTTTCCTCAATTTAATTATCCTCTATTTTGGGTTATCTTAGAAACTCTAATTTCTGCCTGTGGTTAAGGAGGTTAAGATTAGATTACGTTGAAGGAATTAAGACTGTTATGGTTGTAGGGTAGATTAGGGTGGGATGCATCACCCTTATGTAAGTACCTGCTGCTGTTGTTGTTAGGTGCCATCCTATGACTTATAGGGACCCTATGAACAACAGATCTGAATCCTGTCCTATCCTGTGCCATTTTCACAACTCCTGACACACTAGAGCTCATCTCAGCATTCACCAGGTCAATTCACCTGGTCAAGGGTCTTTCTCTCCAAGCATCATGTGCTCCAAGAAAAGCCCCTCATAACATGTCCAAAATATGCGAGGCAAAGCCTCATCATTCTTGCCTCCAAAGAACACCCATCTGCATCCTAAGACACGTGTGTTTCTTCTTTTGGCTGTCCATGAGATGGTCAGTGCTCCTCTCCAACACCACAGCTCAAAGGCATTAATTCTTATTCTGTCATCCTTATTTGCTAATCAACTGTGGTGCAAAGCAAGTGTAAGAAAGACCACGGCCTAGATCAGATGTACTTTAGTCCTCAAAGTGACATCATTACTCCAATAATTTGGAGAGGTCCGTAACTGCAGACTTTGCAAGTGCAATGTGTCTCCTTATTTCCTGACTGCTGGTGCCAAGGGTGTTAATTATGGATCCAAGCAAGATGAAGCTGTTGACAGTTTCAATCTCCTTTCCATCCACCATGACACTGCCTACTGGTCCAGTGGTAAGAATTTTTCCAAGGATAGGTCCCTCCTAATCATTCTTGCCACCAAGGAGCACCTGGTTGCAATTTCTCCAAAGCTTATTTGTTTGTTCCTTTAGCAGCCAATGGGATAACCAGTACTCTTCTCCAACACAACTCAAAAGCATCAATGATTCTTAACCATGGCTTGAATCAGGTGCACCTTAGTCTTTAAAGTGACATTGTTGTTCTTTAGCACTTTGAAAAGGTCCTAGACATATTTTTACTAGTACAATACATCTTTTGATTTCTTGACTACTGGTACCAATGACGATGATTACATATCCAAGTATGATGAAATTCATTGACAACTTTAATCTTTTCTCATCTATCATGATGCTGAATCGTGGCCCAGTGGCGGAGACTTTTGTTTTCTTGATGTTGAGAGGTAATTCATATGGAAGTGCTATAGTCTTTGACCTTCCACATCTAAGTGTTTTAAGTACTCTTCACTTTCAGCAAGCATGGTTGTAGTATATGTATAATGCATATATGGTTGGTAAATCTTCTTCCTAACCTGATACCACATTCTTCCTCATAAAGTCCAGTTTTTCTAATGAAATGCTCAGCACACACACAGCGTAAGTATGAAAAAAAGGAGACAGCCCTGACATACACTTTTCTTGATTAAATCATGGGGTGTTCCCAACTTAAGACAACAGCACTACTGGGGCTACAACCCCGATCTGAAAGGGTGTTTCCCTAATGTGTAAGGCCTTATCCTGTAAGAAATAAAAGGTGAGAGAGAAATGACCAGAGAAGGAGAGACTTGACTATCACTGAGAACACAGCACAAGCTTTGGACCTCCGGTCCCTAAACCTACGGAAAGATATATGGAGAACATCAAGGAAAGCCGAGGCCACAGGTGTTGAAAGAAGACGAAGACCTTCCCCTAGAAGTGACAGAAAGGCTATCCTTTAGAGCGGATATCCTAAATACAGACTCCTAGACACCTGAAGAGAAAAAATTCTACTGGCTAAAGCCATCTACTTGGGGTATTTCTATTATAGCAGTAGGAGAGTAACTAAGAATTTAAACAGAGAAAAAGAGGAAGATCCTCAACAAGAGACTGACCCAGTAGCTACAATGAGATCAGCTCAGCACTTCAACAAGAAAATGGCCATAGGATATAGACAGACACATCACCAAAAAGACATTCAGATGGTAAACAAACACATGACAAAATGTTCAAAATTCCTAGCTATTGAAGAGATGAAAATAAAAATAATGTAATCATCTCACTCCAGCAACAAGAGCTAAGATCAAAAGGACAACAAAGAACAAATGTTGATGAGGCTGTGGAATAACTGGAACTCTTATTCACTGCTGTTAAGAATGTAAAATGGTGTAACCACTACGGAAGGTAGACTAGTACTTTCTCAAAAAGTTGGAAACACTCATATATCATATGACCCAGCAATTCCACTAGTAGGAATATTGGGAAAGCCCTAAAGAAACCAGAGCCATGACTCATACAGATGTATGCACACCCATGTTTACGGCTCCATTCACAACAGATCGAAGCAACCCAAATGCCCAACAAAAAACAAATGGATAGAAAAACTGTGGTACATTCCCACAATGGACTATTATGAAGCAATGAAAAACAATGACCTCGTAGAGAATTACAGAGCATGGGGAAACCTGGAGGACATTATGTTGGATGAAATATTTCAGTCACAAAAGGACACTGTGTAACACCATTGTTATAAAATAGATAGGTGTGGGATGTGAGAAGAGAATGGGAAAAGAGTGGATAGATAATGAACACCGCAACAGAACTGTCTGAAAGGAATTGTATGTATGACAATAATCTGGAACAAAGGGTGCACTGCGATGTGGGCTGGGGGAAGGGGAGGAAGAGAAAATGTGCAACAATGGGGGGATGAAAAGGAATCAAACATAGGCAACAATTCTCAGGATGGCACAGGACCAGGCAGTGTTCCATTCTGTCACACACTGGCTTATGAGCTGGAACCAATCTGATGGCACCTAACCACAATGTACCCCTTATGCTAGTCCTAAAATAAATTATAACTATATCACTTCCCTAAACAAGGTTGGATGAGTTCTCAAATAAATCCAGTCTTCAGACTCTCTCCACATTATGACACGATCTTCACTCCTATATACTCAAGTTGTTGTTATACTAAACTGACATGACTGCTGGCAATTCCCAAAATAGATCTCACGACATCATGCCTCTAGGCCTTATTCAAACCATCTCTTAAATGCAAATGCCCTTTCCCTAACTTCACTCCAGGTTAAAAATGTTACCTTCTGAAAGAAAATGTCTCTGGATTTGCCACAGGAATCAATCTTTTCTTTTATGCTTCTAAAAAGATGTTTTGGTGACAAAATAGGTAAGGAGTCATACTGCCAGTCCAAAGCCAGACAGTTTGTATACACCAGCCACTCTGCAAGAGAAAGCTAGGCAGTCTCCTCCCATGAAATGTACAGTCTCTGAACACTCACTGGAGAATCAACTACAAGTTACCTCCAACTAGATGGGACATAACAACAGAAGCAGCAAAGAACTTTAAACTTCAATAATAATACTTTTCATATACCCATGCTGTCTTTTGTGTTCCATTTTAATACAATACTAAAAACAGGGCTGTATCCTGTGCATCTTTTAAGCTGGAAAAAACACAAACACAAATTCAATGCTACGGAGTCAGAATCGACTCATAGTTGACCCTCCAGTAGTTTGTCCAGAGGCTGTAGGTTGTCCATCTTTCTCCTGCAGAGCTGCTGGTGGACTCAGAGGTGTTGCCTTTGGATTAGCAGCACCATTTCCTATGGATTACGCCATTTAAGCATAGAAAGATCTTAAAAACTACTGCACAGACACCAACATACCTGCTGGCAGCTCTCTGAATCGTAGATATTCCATAGACCGTGTTGTCACAAGTGGTTTTTGAGGATAATAGAGAACATGGGCCAATGTATCCATACGAACATGGAAATTGGTGATATAAACGCCCATAGCCTGTTTACCCATAGCAGACTGGTATGTGTTTCTAGGAGACTAAAGGCAGCAAAAAAGAATCAATTAACATTTAATTACCTCCACACCCATGTTTATTGCAGCTTTGTTCACAATAGCAAGGAGTTGGAAACAACCTAGGTGCCCATCAACAAACGAATGGCTAGAGAAGCTGTGGTATATTCGCACAATGGAATACTATGCTGCATTGAAAAACAAGGAACTCATGCAATATTATTCAAAATGGTTGACTCTGGAGAACATTATGCTGAGTGAAATATCCCAGTCACAAAAGGACAAATATTACATGATGCCACTGTTGTAGAATGGCACTAACCTCGAGGTTGGGGAGAGACTGAGTAAGATGGGTTCAATAATGTATATTGCACTGAAACAGAGGAGGGAGAAAACTGTTTAAAAGTGATATGTGACTAGGTATTTCTGTCATCACAGGAGTCTAGAACGATGGCTCCATGGTGGAGGGGACCTGAGGGAGGGTTTGTAAAACAATGAAAGAATCTTTTCTTTTACTTTTCCATAATTTTTGACTCATGTACTTATAACTTGTTAGTTAAATTTGTGTCTTCTAGGTTGCAACACCCCCATGATACATCTTCAAGGATATGAACATGTACGGCTAAGCACAATTAATAACAGTGCATCTAAATTGCAAAATCAATCTCCATAATAGTCTATGTGTTTCCTACTGCCAAAGGGGCCCTTTAGAGTAGTGAGAGAAGATCTTCGCCCTGAAACCCACGGCGTCCCTTTTCAGCAGGAAGTAGCTAAGAGAATGCGCCATCCCCTTTTCCTTATGAATCGGGGTGAAGTCTCTCTCAGGGAGGAGTGATAGGGAATGGCAAAGGACACACTGACAAAGGAGATTAATCAGAACTGACTTTGACAAGCACTGTGGCAATTGGACAATTAAAACAGACATTCGGATGGCGGGGGAAGAAGAACAAACTGGGGAGGAGGGTAGAGAGAATGGTGCAGCAATGAAGGAATGAAAACCCAAAATCTCTGTAAATGTTCATTAAAACTAATAATATTTAATAATAATAAAAAAAACAAATAAAAAATAAAAATTAATTGCCGTTGAAAAAAAAAAACCCAAAAACATTTAATTACCTCAAGGAAAATCCTCTACAGAGTATTAATTACATTAATCAGAAATCATATGTAAGGTTTTTTTGTTTCTTCCCAAAATAACTATGGCTGTTATGAAACACTATGCAAACCAAATGCTTTGCTCTCTAGGATAACACACCCTTTCATTAAATGGCTTTTCTCTTAGGAGGAAATTACTGATTAATCTCGGATTTCTACTCTCCCACCAATTTCTCACAAATCAGGAGATAGAGCTACCAACCTGGTTATGATCAGGGAAGGGAATAATAGATGCACAGACACCGAGGATCATTGAAGGATGAATCTCACAATGTGTGTATGTGGAACAATAAGCAACTTCTTTCTCCTGTAAATCATCTGGAGTCATCGCAAGCATCACGGTTTCTTCTTCAAGGGTATCAATGTATTCTACTACTCCACTGGCCACAAGATCCTGCCAACTGCAAAATACTAATTCATTCAATGTCCTCATTTTCTGATTAACTCCCTCAGCCTTCTAATTAATAATGACATCTTATATTTATGCACTGATACCAAGTTACAAACTAAATCTATCACTGTTGGCAATGGTAAAAAAACAAGTTGCTGGGGGGGAGGGTTGAGGGGAGAAAAGTACAACAATGAATGAACAGAAATCCAAAGTCTCTGTAAATTTTCATTGAAATAATAAATTTTTAAAAATGCAAAAGAAAAAAAAAACCCACAAGTTGCCCCTACAACACATATAAAATACAATCTCATGACTATTATTTGTTTCCATTTATTTTAAAATTGTATCTCCTGTGTGAAATGCAAACATAAAAATATACAGACTAAAATTTGAAAGAATATATGCCAGATTGTTAACAGCATTTATTTTTGAAAAGACCAGGAATGAATTGATGTCTTTTACAAATTTTCATTATATACACTAGAGTGTGTTTTGTTGGGTTTGTTTGTTCACAATAAGAATATATACATTCCATATATTAGCATAAATGGAAGACTGTATCACACATTCACAAACACATTCACAACATTAGCAAAAAAGGAACCTTTAAAACAATTTCCTTTTTAAGAAAATTTATTAGGTTTTAAGAGATCACAAATGCATTCATTCTTAACGCCACATATTGTTTCCTGGATCAAAAATTAAGGAAAATAAATAGCAACCGGAGTAAAAAGAGACTCCACAGACTGTAGAAAAAAATATTTGGCACTGATTGTAGACTCAAAAAACCCCAATTAAAAATAAGAAGACATGAAGATACTTCATGAAAGAAGGCATTCAGGTAGCAAATAAACATATGAAGAAATGTTCAAGATCCTAAGCCTTTCGAGAGATGTGAATCAAAGTTCTATAAGACAGAAAATAAATGCTGGCAATAGGACAAAGAAGACAGGAACCTGTGGAAAAAGAGTTTGGCAATTTCTTAACACACAAATAGATATATGCACACCCATATTCAATGAGACAGTATTTGCAACAGCAAAGAAATGGAAACAATTCAAGTGTCCATCAATGGATGAACAGAGTGGAAGAATAGAATGACTGTTCAAAATGACCTTCCTACTCATTAGCTTTGATTTTTGGCACATGAATGGGTGGGACTATGCTACTGGTATCTATGATATGAAGTGTATCTTTGGGGTGGGAATATACAAAGTATGTAGACTACTAATGAGGAGATTGATAAATCTTCTTGCCATTCCACTATGTAAAAATGAGTTGGTTTAGAGACAGAAAATGGGAATCTTGCTACAGCAAGGAAAAAAATTAAATGCAGCATGTACACCTCCATTCAGACCAGAGATTCTTGCACAACCAGACTTGTGGCAGTAGAAAACTAGAGGTTCCCATGAGACAGAGCTGAACTGAAACTGCCAAGCCGAAGAACCAGAGCTGAGGGCTTTTGTTCAATTGTGTGTGGATGCTGTTTGATGGGGACTCTTCTCCCTAGGAGAGTTAGTTAGTGGAGGTCATATATTGCCTCCTACCCCCATGTTATCCACACTCTTTTTAAAAATGGGTAAGCAAACTATGGTACATTCACACAATGTAATACTATAACACAAAGAACACTGAAGAATTTGCAAGCACCATGTAACATGGATGAATATAGAGAACATTATGCTAAGTGAAATAAGTCAGTCACAAAAGGACAAATATTATGACCACTATTATAGAAAGGGAGTTTTGGTAGCCAGTGGTAGGGAGTTGCACTGCCAACTGAAAGGCATTTGGTTTGAGTTTGCCAGCAGCTCCAATGGAGGAAGATGACCAATCTTCTCTAATGAAATTTACAGTCTCTGAAAACCCACGGGAAAGCCACCTATGAGTTCTACCGGACTTTACACCAATGGAGTGATTACACCAATGGAATGAGTGACTGATTAGAATAAGATAAGGAAAGGTTTACACAAATAAGGGCAAATTCTTGGAAGTTAGTAGGGATTTAGAAGGGGAGGAGAGAGAGAGCAAAAATCAGTAAACAGAAAATAAACACACATTAGAAGGACAAAAACACTAAACAAATATATTCTTTCTTTTTAAGGTGATGAAAATGTTCTAGAGTTAGACAGGAGAGATAGTAGCACAATCATATTAGCATATTAAAAAACTGAACTATGTTCTTTACAGTAGCATGATATGTGAATCTTATCTCAATTCTTTAAAATGTACACAGTATTTTTACTGCATGTTCTTACCTGTAGTTATTATATTCTCTCTCTTTCAACTGGTCAATATGCCTCTTCTTCAAAAGTAGCTTTTGTTTTTCCACGATCAGAAGTGGTCTGCAAATACGGCCTGCATCTGTATAGATACGAATCTCCCTTTCTCGAATATCTCTGATCATAGAAACCTGTATGTAAAAAGATAAAACAATCTTACTTTCTCTACACCATTAGGGCCTAGTTAGAAATATAATAAAATTACAAATAAACTTCCATGATAACCAATAATCAAATAAGATAGGTGAATCTTAGGGTCACTGTTCATTATATTAGACACTCAAGGTATAATTTAAAATGTTCTAAGCAGACTTCCGTTCAACTTGATTCCTCTGCTGCATGTGTTTCTGCTGGCTTTCTTGGTTAAAACATGGCTAAAAGCTTACAAAGTAAGTGGAAAAGGAAAATGCGTGCTGAAAAGAGGAAAAAGAATGCTCCAAAGGAGCTCAGCCGGCTTAAAAGTATTCTCAAAGTAGATGGTGATGTTGTAATGAATGACGTTCAAGAGATTGCAACTGTTGTGGTACCCAGACATTACCAAGAGAAAATGCAGTATGATACGAATGATGAAAAAGGTGAGAAAGATGACATGAAAATGGAAGCTGACATTAAGAGAAACAAAAAGAGCCTTCTAGACCAGCATGGACAGTACCCAATATGGATGAACCAGAGGCAGAGAAAAAGGCTGAAAGCAAAGAGAGAAAAAGGGAAAGGAAAAAACAAATCCAAGGCAGCAAAAGGTTTAGCCTGGTACCACATGCAGCAGGCACTTGGTTAAAGTGTGTACAGGAATTTCAGGTGCCACTGGATGAGAACTACTTATTTCTGAATCCTAACTGGCCTTTATCTTTGATTTCAAACCCAGCATAGCTCAAGTTTGGTTTGGGAACTGGAATAAAATATTTTCTTTGGTGAATAAAGCTGTAGAGATACTTTAATTGGATTTCTCTCTACTATCCAGGTGTTACTACACATCAAATTTATATCAACTATTAATCTAACTGTAATTGATAGTTGTTACAGTGTGATGTATGTAATTTGTAAATGTAAAGCAAGTGATGTTATGAAAAAATTAACTCAGATTTATGTAAACAATTTAAAAATAATATCTTTGGATCCTCTAAGTAGTGCTTATTTGGAATTTGGATTTTGTTATAATTCAGAATAAAAGCTATTTTATGCAAAACAAAAAAATGTTCTAAGCAGAAAATTCTAAACTTTCTAATTATAGCACTAAGCAACAGCATCTGGTAGTAATGTCATACAAGTAATGTGAAATGACAAAAGGAATATTTTAGTAGTAGAAAGAATCGCTGCCTCTGAAAACTGCTGGAGTTGGTTCTGACTCAACAGAACATACATAAATGAGTCAAAAGAGAAACAAAAATTTGTAATTCATTATCTTGATCCAATAAATTATTTTCTTTTAAAAATAGTGTTTTAGTGTGTTTTAGGTGAAACTTTATTGTAGTCAATCAGTCTTCCATTCAGGGACAACTCCAAAATACTAAAGAGCAATGATATCAGTTTGAAGACTAAGGTGCACCTGATTCAGGCCATGGTTTTTCAAGCACTTGCTATGCATGTAAGAGCTGAATAATGAATAAGGATGACAGAGACTAATTGATGCCTCTGAGTTGTAGAGCTGGAGAAGAGTACTGAATATCCTATGGACTGCCAAAAGAACAAAGAGGCCTTGGAAAAAGCACAGCCAGAGTGCTCCTTAGAAGTAAGGGTGACGTTGCTTTGTCTTTCATACTTTGATGATGTTGCTAGGAGAACGCTATTCCTTGGTAAGAGATATCATGACTGGAAAGGTAAAGGATCTGCCAAAGAGAAGATCCTCAACAAGATGGATTCATAGTGACTAGGGCAATGGGCTCAAGTGTGTCAGGGATGGTGAGGATGGCACAGGATAGGTCAGGGTTCAGGTCCCTTTTTCACAAGGTTTTTAAGTCCTTCTCAATTCAATGGCATCTAACAATAACAACATAAATTATTCTACAGCATTACATTTTCAAACATGTCAACATTTCTTTTTTACTGTAGATATTTTAATCTATTTCATTTTAAGTCAATTAGGAAATGATCTGTTAATGAACTGGAACCTGAATAGTAGTTTAATATTTTCCGAAAAGAGTACTTTAAAAAGTAAACCATGCCTTGGTTTCAAATCTGGGTCCTTCACTCAAGAAAGGATTAGGACTGCTTATAGAAAGAGGTTACTGGCTTAAAAATATTGGAAAAATCACAAAAGCCAGACTTTTTTTTTTCCTGTGAGAAAAATTTGTATTTAGAATTAGCCCACTGGACTCCGTTTAGATGATCCCAATCTTGTTGGCAACATGCAAAGCATCATAATCAGGACAAAGTTGAACATAGGCCTTCTTCTCTCCATCAGGCCTAATCAAAGTATTGCCCTTAGCTACATCAATGTCATAGAGCTTCTTTAATCTGGTTGTTTAAACAGCTTGTTTAATCTGGTGCTTGTTGGCCTTGACATCCACAATAAACACAAGTGTGTTGTTATCTTCAATCTTCTTCACAGCTGACTCAGTGGTCAGGGGAAATTTGATGATGGCACAGTGGTCAAGCTTGTTTCTCCTAGGGGGGCGCTCTTCTGGGGGTATCTGGGCTGCCTTCGGAGTCTCAGCAGTTAGGCCGCCAGAAGGTGGGTGACGTGCGGATCTTCTTTTTTTTTTGGCTGTGGATGCCCTTAAGGACTGCCTTCTTGGCCTTCAATGCCTTTGCTTTGGCTTCAGTTTTGGGAGGGGCAGGAGCATCCTTCTTCGCTTTCGGCGCCATCTTCGTAGAAAGGGAAAGCCAGACATTTTTAAAAAGAAACACTACATTCTAGGGGAGCTCTGGTGGCCTAGTGGCAAGGAGCTGCAACTACAATTCCAGAGCCACACGGTTCGAATCCACCAGATGTTCTGCCGGGGAAGGAGGGGCAGTCTCCTCCTGTACCAGTCAGATCTGATTTGACGGTATACTCACACAAAAATAAAAAAAAAAAAGAAACACTACATTCTCTAAAACTAAAGAGCCAAAATTCAAGAAAGAGAAAATGTTCCCAAGTTCGTGGCCCACTTCTTTTCCAAGAAGCAGTTTCAGAAGAGATAGCATCTAAAAAGCAAAATGCAATGCCAGTGTTCTAAAGTCCCAGTAAATAGAGGGCTTTCAAATGCTTTTACTTGAAAGTTTAGAGAACAAGTATTTTTTTAAAAAATATCATTCCTTCAAGATAAAGATGGGCACAAGATATAAACAGACACTTCACCAAAGAAAACATTCAGATGGCTAACAAGCACATGAAGAAATGTTCAAAATCCCTAGCTCTGAGACGCAAATTATAACAACTATGAGATACCATCTCACCCCAGTCAAAATAGCAAAATTTAACAGAACAGCAAGCAACAAGTGCTGGCGAGGTTGTGGAGAAACTGGAACCCTTATTCACTGTTGGTGGAAGTATAAAATGGTGCGACCACTGTGGAAGGCAGTATGGCACTTTCTCAAAAAGTTGTAAATAGAAATACCATTTGACCCAGCAATTCCACTACTGGGAATATACCCCAAAGAGACCATAACTGACATACAAGCAGATATATGCACACCCATGTTTATCGTGGCTTTGTTCATAATAGCAAGGAGTTGGAAACAACCTAAGTGCCCATCAACAAACGAATGGATAGAGAAGCTCTGCTATATTCACACAATGGAATACTATGCTGCATGAAAAACAAGGAAATCATGCAATATTATATGGGTGACCCTGGAGGACATTATGCTAAAATGAAGTATCTCTGTCACAAAGGGACAAATACTGTATGGTGCCACTGTTGTAAAACAGGACTGACATCGGGGCTGGGGGGAGACTGAGAAAGATGAGTTCAATAATGGACACTGTATTGGAACAGATGAGGGAGAAAACTGTTTATAAGGGATATGTGATTAGGTACTTTTGTCATGACAGGAGTCTGGAGCGAAGGCTGCATAGTGGAGTGGACCTGGGGGAGGGTTTGTAAAACAATTAAAGAATTTTTCTTTTACTTTTCCAAGAGGGTAGTGTACTAGGGGGGAGGGTTGGGAGGGGAGAAAATTGCAACAATGAATGAATGGAAACCCAAAGTCTCCGTAAATTTTCATTGAAATTAATAATAAATTTAAAAAAACACCACAAATAAAAAATTGAAGTGTCTCCTCAAAGGCTGAGCGTCTTATGTTCCAAAGGAAACAAGTGTTCCTTCATATATCTAGGAAGAACTGAGAGGAAAATTGATAAGATTCAACAGAAGGCTAAATTAAAGATGGGGTAAGATCGGCATACCCAGGTTAACAAAAAATAAGGAGAAAAAGGATTAGACTTCTAAAATACACAGTCTTCCATTTAGAGATTCTCAAAATGTAAGAATGTAACATCTATTCACTGAACGTCTACTATATTTTGGGCACTATAGCAAGCTCTGGTAGCCTAATGTTAAGAAGCTGCATTGCAATCCCAAAGTTGCATAGTTCAAATCCACTAGTTGCACTATGGGAGGAGGATGGACAATCTCCTCCTGTGCGATGTATGGCCTTTGAAAAACTGATGGAAGGTCAGCTCTGAGCCAGTTCTGATTAGACAGCACAAAGTAACAATACACAGAGCTGAAAATACACAAAGTCACATTCAGACATTATCTCCTCTGAGAAGCAAACAACTGAGTGAGGCAGACAGGTAAACTAAGTTATTGCAAAGGGTACTTTCTGAGAGATAATCAAGTTAGAAATGTTATGGTCAAAGAGAAGGAAATCAGGGGTCAACCAAATACTTCATAAACCTGTCCCCACTCCCCATCTGTTTTTGCAAATAAAGTTTTATTGGTTCAAGTATTGTCTATGGCTATTTTCACCACAGCAGTAGAGTAGCTGCAGTAAACACTGTACATGTTTTCAAAATATTGTATTATGTGTTTTTCAAAATATTGAGAATTTCACCCTTGACAGGGAAGTTTGCCAATCCCTGATCTAAAACACACTACATGCCTGGCCAGGTGTCCTGGAGATGACAATTAACAGATGTCTTTCAAAAACTATTTCTATTCTGAGTTAGATTATTGGGGGAACTCACACATCCTTCTCCACATCTCCTGTTTTGGAAGGGAAATGAAAGCAAGAGGCATTTCCGGTTGAATTTCAGGTTGAGGGAATGCATTCAAGCATGCCCTCAGGGTATAAAGAATATATGAGAGTTAAAAAGCAGGGCCAACTTGAGGAAGGCCTGGAGTAGCCAAACTTCACTAGGTATGGAAGACCAGCTATTAGCTAAGTAAGTTTAATCATTTCTCTATGAACCAATTTTTACCCCAAGAAGGCCCCAAATTGCAGCCCTCATCAGAGTACAGCAAAGGCTCTATTCTGGGAAATAAAAATGCTAATGTTGTTTTGTACATTCATGTCAGACCTGACTCACAGCTGACTCTCCAGCAGGTTTTCAAAACCATTACATCACAAGGGAAGAGACTGTCCACCTTCCTCCCTCAGAGAAGCTGGTAGGTTTCAAACTGCTTACCTTTGAGTTGACAGTGCAACACCTTACCATTAGACAGACCATCAGAGCTCCCTTACATAGCTGATACTATATTTTAATTGTTTTAAAATGTATTTTAATGTTTTCATATTGTTATGTGCCACTCATTGAACAACTTACAGCTGACCTTCCAGGGGGTTTTGAGTGACTGTCAATCCCACAGGAGAAAACTGCCCATCTTTCTCAGGTAGACTAGCTGGTGGATTCCAAAGGCCTACTTTCAGATTGAGAGTATAACTCCTTACCCATTAGGCCATCAGAAAAAAAAAAATTAACCCCAAAGCATATTAATAATATAATTTATGAGAGTTTACTACAGGTGTGTAAATGTCTACTGAAAATGTCTAGATTCAGACAAAAAATAATCAAAGGTGATTTTTCTCTATTTAAAGTATTCCCAAGAAAAGATTATTCAAAGATACTGTTCTATATAAAAGATTCAAAAAAGGAATTACCTTTTCTCTTAAATGTATTTTGAGTTCTAAAAACTAAATTTCATGTAAAAAATTTCAGGAACTTTTTCTTAAGCATTAAAGCAATCAATACCACATACAACAATCATATGCCACATTATGTACAACCAAACCTGTCTCAGGTCTCAACCTCCAATTCAAGGTACAGATTATGGATCAAAACAACTAACAGGCTCTACCTTACCATCCTTCCTATACCTTATTATCACTGTATTATTAAAGTTATTTTAATGTTATCTGCAAGTGTTTAATGGACTTTATGCACAGAACTGTAAGACAGATAGATAAAAGAAATCATTAGATTACCTAATGCTAGATATGAACCGTACATTAATCTTTCAATTTATGTACAAAACTGACATACAAATAGACCTGAGAACAGAACTCTTTCTTAATCCTGGACTAGTTATATAATATGGGTGTCTACACAATGTCCAAATAATTTCCTATTTCACAGACTAAACCATGGACATTTGGCAGCACAATCAAGCACAATCAAGCTCCAAATGTCCCTTTTAAGACTTTGACAATATATTTTATAACTGAAGAGAAATTAGTTCAAAGAAAGTATATTAACAAAAAAATCCAGGTGACCTTCACTAGTTTTGGGCCTTGCTTAGAAATCCTACAGATCATGCCCTCTTGAATGAAGACTTACTTCAGATACGATGATGTCCATCTGGCGACGCAATTTTCTTAGTGTATTCATAAGCTGTTCAGGATCTTTATGTATACCAACCCAGCAGCCATTGACAAAAATCTTGGTTGCACTAAAATGCAAAACCAAAAACATTTTGCATTTAGCAATTCTATACTAAGCTATAACCACAGACCAGCAATAGTATCTTAAAAAAGAAACAAGAAACTATACACACTCAGCAATAGCTGCAGGAGAAATTTCCTCTAAATTTTCCATACTCCATTCTTCTAAAAATTCCAGAATCGGAGATGGTTGAGATCCAACTGAAATATAAGCCATCAAAGCCAAATTCTTCACAAGTCCTACAGCATGACCCTAGGAAATAGACAAAGTATTATTCAACTGAGTTAATATTTCTTACAAAATACTATTTCATAAACATCTTCTGTACAATATTATCTCAAGATTTAGTTCCTTAAGTGTCTAAGACAAGATCTCTATATAATCTAACTTAGTTTTACACAGAACTGCATACTGCAAAACTAAATGGAAACAATTCTGAAACTATTTTGTCCTACAGAATTATTGATTTACTATATTAACATATAAATTCTATCCAGTTACCTCTGGGGTCTCAGCAGGACACACCATTCCCCATAATGTATTATGTAGCTGTCGTGGTTTTGCTAGCTTGCCATCTCTACCAATAGGAGAATTTAAACGACGCAGGTGAGAAAGAGTAGATGCAAAAGTTAGGCGATTCAACACCTGGGGAAAAAAATAACAAGTTTTTAAAGTTTAGACAATCATATGAGTCACAGTATCATGTTCTAGCAAATACCACAATGGGAAAGTTCAATATTTTTTACATATAATCCACTGTGTAGAAAACTATCCCTTTCTCAAATTTCTTCCCTGGATCTTATTTAAACCTTTATTTAACGAGCAGAATGGCAAATACAGAATGTACAATACTGTTGTTATGTGCAATCAAGTCACCTGCGACTCATGCCGACCCTATGTACAACAAACCTAAACCCTGTTCTATCCTGTCCCGATTTTGTCACTGACACATCTACCTCCATTACCCCAATCACTGAATTAATCTAGCTCATAGAGGGCATGACATCCCTCTCCAAGGACTGGTCCCCCGCCTTGCAGTACGTCCAAAGTATGTCAGACGAAGCTTCAGAGTCCTTGCCTCCAAGGAGCAGCCTAGTCTCACCCTCTCTAGGACAAACCTGTTTGTTCTCCTACCAGTTCACAGTATATTCAACACTCTTTTCCAGCACCAAAGCTCAAAGGCATCAATTCTCCTATTAACCCAAGTCACTGTTCAGTTTTCTGACACACAGCAAGTAATTACAAAGATCATGGCCTGGATCAGGTGCACCTTAGTCTCCAGACTGAAATCATTGCTCTTCAGTACTTTGGAGGGGTTTCTGACAGCAGACTTTCCCAGTGCAATCCATCTTTTAATTTCCTGGTTGCTGGTACCAAGAGTGCTGATTGTGGAGCCAGGCAATCTAAAGCTGTTAAAGTCTCTTCACTATCTATCATGATGCTGCCAATAGGCCCAGTGGTGAGAATCTTGTTTTCTTGATGTTGAGCTTCAATCCATATTGAAGGCTGTAGTCCTTGACCTTCTGCAGCAAGCGCTTCAGGTCCTCCTCAATTTCAGCAAACAGGGTGGTGTCATCTGCATAACGCAGACTGTTGATGAATCTTCCTCCAATCCTGATGGCCACATTTGACAGCATACCAATTGACATATTTCACCAAACTGCTGCCCTGGATGTGCTCACCAAGTTGTATCAAGTAGTCTGGAGGACAACCACCTGGCCAACTGACTGGAAAAGATCTGTTTGTTCCCATTCCAAAGAAAGGTGACCATACAGAGTGTGGAAATTATAGAGCAATATCATTAATATCACATGCAAGCAAGATTCTGCTGAGGATTATCCCAAAATGACTGAAAAGCACATCAACAGAGAACTGCAGACTGCGTTTAGAAGGCGTTGTGATACTAGGGATATTATTGCTAATGTTAGATGGATGCTGGCTGAAAACGGAGTATCAATGTCTTTTTGTGTTTCATTGACTAAGAAAAGGCATTTCACTGTGAGGATCACAACAAACTGTGGCTGACTCAGAAAAATGGAAATCCCAGAACACTTGATTGTGCTTAGACGAAACCTATACTTGGACCAGGAGGCAGTCATCAGAACAGAGCAAGAAAACATTGCAAGGTTCAAAATTGGGAAGGGTGTATGCCAGGGATGTGTCCTATCTCCATACAATGCTAATACATCACACAAATATTTTCTTTATGAGCTAAACATAAAGCTCAAAAATAAGTAAAATATTTTATCATGTTATAATCATTTATTTCTATCTATCCACCATTATAGACTTTAAAATATTAAAGATCAAGGGTCATGTTTTATCCATCTTTGCATCTTCAATGTATGGCACAGTGCCTGTCACCTGTCAGGTTCCAATAACCATTTCCTACAGTGGCAGCATGGCATTCCTCGTATATGACTTAATGAGCTGACTAGTTCATTATGGATGAATCTGCATCCCCCCAAGGGATGAAATGGTACTTCAATCATACTTGTGACCTAACATTACAGAGTGTACCTAATAAATCTTTACTGAATTAAAAAATAATAAAAATTAAAAAAACAAACCAAATCTGGACTGCTGCTGCATTAATTCTGGTTTACAGAGACCCTCCATTAGTTCTCCAAAGCTGTAAATTTTTAAGGGAGATTTCCCATTTTCTCCCTGCAGGAGCAGCTGGTGGTTTTGAACTGCCAACAACATTTTTGTTTGCAACACAGTACATACATACCACCAGATCTCATTTCTAATAAAAAGGAGGTGAAAAATTAGCTTCACCAACAGTACTTTCTTAGAGCATCTGGGTTTTAAGGGAAGCAATACCTGCAGGTGGACTCCAAATAAATCAGGTATACATCATTACGTACCAAATCAGTAATGTATTGTTTTTCTGGTTTGGTTTTTTTTTTCCCTTTTAAAAAAGGAAGGAATCCCAAAAATATTTCATAAACCCAGACAGTTTTAATTTTATATTAAGAGTTTTTTTAAAAAAGTCTAGTGAGACAACCACTTGTAAAGCAGAAATTAAATTTAGTCACATCCAACACACTGGTATTGAGAAACACTGTTAGGAGTACTGTATTTTGAAACAAATGAATGGGATGTTTATCTAGTCTCTGGGTTGGCTTCTAAAATAAAGAGCTTTTAAGACATAAAAATTTCACTAACATGGATTGTGTCACTTCTCAAGCTTTCCATCTAATTTATTAATAGCCCTGAGTATCTATATAGCGAATCACAACTAGCTGTGCCAATGATTGCTAATTTAGGAACAATTTCATTGATATTATTTAAAATTCACAATTTTTTTCCCCTTTGACCAGGAAAAAAGACAAAGTAACTTACAGTCAATGAATCAAAGAACTTATTAGTGCTAGGTAACATTTTCTCCCTCAAACCTGCAATTCTGGTTGGCTCCTTACCTGAGATACTCCAGCTCTGGCTTGATGAGCTTTTTTCTGATCACCCCAGTTTCCAGTAGCTAAAGAGTATTTGAGGCCATCAGATATAATTCTTGTTTTAATTGCCAATTCCAAGTTAAAATCCTTTCCTCGATCAATGAACTTCTGGGCATAGATGCGCACTTCTTTAAGCAAATTCTTAAACATACTGCCAAATAAAGCAATGTGTTTTAAGTTAAGGATCTACAACATCCATTCTAAACATGAAAGGAAAAGAGGACACCATTAATGTTTTTACAAATAAAGTCCAGACATACGTAATGTATAATATTTACGAGATGGGATTTAGGAGAGTATGTCTAAAGTAGGGCCTCTGTAGGTTGACAAAAAAAAACAAAACCAAAATCAAAAAAATCCACAACTTGTAACACACTAAAAGAATATGTGCAAAGTACTGCTAATATAAAGTCAACTTTTTTTCTATTAAATTGTCTACGTATTCTATTCTTATAAACAGGATTTTCTAATTAAAAAAGCTATTTTAAGTTCATTACAGAAAACATGGAAAATCTCACATACCCCACTGGTTTAAGATAATCAGTCAATGGATTTTCTGTTAACATACTGCAGGATTTGTGTGTTTTTTCATAAAATGTAAAGCGGCATTAATAAAAAAATCCACTATAAGCACCTTGAAAAGCAAGGCAAAATAATACCACTTTCTCAAATACTTAAGGTTACCAGAGCAAAAAGAACAGAAGAAAAGTAAAAACTTGTTTTCACTAACTTGATATTTCAAGACAGGAACAAGGACTAATAAGTCTAGGAATGTGACAAACCAATATTGCTAATGCTACATGCATCCAGTATTGTCAATCAAAACAATTCAATACTTCCATGTGCACCAACTGAAGGAAAATGCAATCTCCTGCTTTAATGATTTTATTCTGTAATTCCTTACCCTCTAAATAAGAATGCAAGCAGTGGCCCAGCAAGATCCAATCTTTTATTTCCATAGTGATCTCGGTCATCCAGTTCTCTTCTACCCAAAGCTGCTAGAAGTAACCTATGTACCATATACCTTAAAAAAAAAAAAATAAAGAAATAAATAATTTTAATAAATAAATGACACAAGAGAAAACATGCTTATAGGCATTAGTTTTCCCTTAATTTATACATTAAAACAATTTTTTTCTACTTTTAGTTTTAAAAATAAAAGCTATCTAAACTGTATCTTAGCTGAAACAAACAAATTAAACATACCCCAAGAAATAGGCTTTTTTAGTCTCACAAAAATCACTGACACCAACGTGAGGGAGCATTTCCTTTTGTAAGACTTCTTTTGCGTACTTAATTCTTTTCTCCTTAGTAACACCTGGCTTCGCACCTCTTGAGCCAATAAAATTTAGAGCAACATTCTGTTCTTGAATGACAAAAGCTTCATCGAGAGAAGGTTTGACCTATCAGATAATTTAAATAAAAGTTATTTTAAAATTCTTATTTCCACCTTAAAATTAGTCTACTGTCAATTACTTTATAACATGTTAAAAAATCTTAAGAATTTAATAAAAGATGCAGGTTTTTATATCAAGAAATCACAAAAGAGTAAAACTAAGAGATCTTGTAAGATCTATCGAGAGAACTCCAACAAAGTCTACACATCAGTACAAGCAACTATACAAAAAAATACAAATAATTCCACTGTGAAGAGTTCAGTATACTTCTTTTATTTAATGGCAAAAAAATTGAGAAATTTATTAATTCAAAATATACTGAGACAAATGAATAAATATGCCAGATTACTTCTAGCCTTGCTATTAAATTTTTAACCTATAAATAAAACTAGTCAACAGCCTATAATGTCTTTTTAAAGTACACTCTTAAAAAGAGATCTGCATTAGAAACCTATGACTAACTAGCTACTGAACAATCATGTTAGTCAGCATCCACATCTAACAAGGTTTAGATAAAACCTCAAAATTCCATTGGTTCTCACATTCTAAAAGTTCAGTCTCATACAATAATGACCAAGAGAACAAAACGGGAACATTCGGTAACTTTGGTCCCTAAAAGTAAACTTTCATCTTACTATATATATTAACACACCTTTCCTGCCTTCTGACCTTGCCACATATACTATATATCTATCCAACTATCAAATTCCAATTATGAAACCAAAGTTTAGGAAAAGTTCAATAAAGTAATTTTTTAAAGGGCTATTGTTACTATCAAACAATTATGATGAAGTTAATATGGATTCAGGAAAGAATAACAAAGATGCACTTTTAGAAGGAAAACTAGAAATAACTTTCACACAGTAACTGGGTAATAACCCAGAGAACTGTAAATATTTTCCTAAATTTCCTAAGACCTGAAGGCCCAAACAGTAATTTTCAAAAAGGTAAGAGATCTTTTTGAAAAAGGGATGCCTAATCAATTGGGAAAACACAGTTCATAATGATAATGTTCTACATCCTCGTCAAGTGAGGAGTGAATGCGGTCTTTAAAACTGTGAGCAATCTTATTCACTGTTGGTGGAAGTGTAAAATGGTGCAACCACTCTGGAAAGCGATGTGGCGCTTTCTCAAAAAGTTGCAAACAGAGATACCATTTGACCCAGCAATTGCACTACTGGGAATATACCCTAAAGAGACCATAAATGACATCCAAGTAGATATTGCATACCCATGTTTATCGCAGCTTTGTTTACAACAGCAAGGAGTTGGAAACAACCTAAATTCACATCAAACGAATGGGTAGAGAAGCTGTGGTATATTCGCACAATGGAATACTATGCTGCATTGAAAAAACAAGGAACTCATGCAATAGTATTCAAAATGGGTGACCCTGGAGGACATTATGCTGAGTGAGGTATCTCAGTCACAAAGGGACAAATGCTATATGATGCCACTGTTGTAGAATGAGGCTGATACGGGGTGGGGGTAAGACTGAGAAAAACTGGATGAAATATGTTTAAAGCATTGAAGTCTATGGGGGAGAGAATAGTTTAAAAGTATTATATTATAGGGCATTATGTTTATTGTTAAGAGTACAGAATGAGGGTTGCAGAGTGGATTATATTTGGGTTTGGGGGTGGGGTTGGGGGAAGTACGGGGGGGACTGTGTACCAATGAGGGAGTTTTTCTTTTGCTTTTCAAGGAGAGGAGGGTGCAACAATGAATGAATGGAATTCCAAAATCTCTGTAGATGTTCACTGAAATGAGTAATAATTAATTTAATAAAAGTAAAAAACAAAAAAAAAATTCTGAGCAATCATCTAAGAAGCAACTATTGGTCTTTTTACCACCTAAAGCAAAGGGGAGAGAAAACCAATGACTAAAGGGAGCAACTGCCCAAAGGACAAATGGCTCACATAAACTCTGGACTCCTAGAACCTGAAACCAGAAGTGGTGGATGGCAGACAGCTACCACTACCACCCAAGCTGACTAGGACTAAAAAAGATGGTGCCAGGTAGAAAAGGTAAAACTATAGTACAATACAGTCAGTCTAGAGACTAAGGTGCGCCTGATTCAGGCCATGGTCTTCACAATTACTTGCTATATGTCAGACCTGGACAATGATGAACGATGACAGAAAAAGAACTGATGCCTTTGAGTAAAGTACTGAATATACCACAGAATGCCAAGAGAACATACAGGTCTGTTCTGAGAAGGTGAAACCAAGTTGCTCCTTGGAGGCAAGGACTGTGAAGCTCTGTCTGACATGTTTTAGGTATGTGGCCAATCTTTGGAGAAGGACATCATGCTTGGAAAGGTGGAGGGACAGCATAAAAGAGGAAGACCTTGGATGAGAAGGACTGGCACAGTAACTGGGGTAATGGGTATGTCAGAGACAGTAAAAGACTGGCTCAGGACAGGACAGCTATTGTGCGTAGTCGCTATAAATCATAGTGGACTCAGTGGCCTATAACAACATGACAGAAGACAAAAATACTGGTAAAAAAAGAACTTTTTTAAAAAGGGCAGTAACTTACGTAAAAATGTACTTAAACTTAACAATAGAAATCTGTGGAACAGACTCTCATCCTAACCTGGTGACTCCTTTTTAATAAAATTGCACCAGGCTAGTGGTTTCTGTGATTTTCCTCACTACCATTCCTTAATGCTGTCAGTGAACTCTGGCTGTCCACAGTTTGCAGGTCTATCACACACTTGTCAGGATAGAGCCTGGATTAGAGGCTCATTTACCCAGTAAATGGTCTAAGATTTGTGACAGTTAATCAAGCACCTTTCAACTATGTTTCAAGGTTAAAAATACTCAGCTAAATTTTAAACCTATTATAACACTAGGAATATATTTTGCTTTCACATTACCATTTCCATCATCTCTGGATCTTCAAAATCATAAATAATATGTTCCAAAATGTCTCTGTCAGACACAAAACCTAATGCTCTGAACACAATAATGATAGGAACTTCCTGCTTGATATATGGTAGAGTTGCCACAATGCGCTGACCAATCGCACTCTTTTTTGCACCCTAAAAAACCAAAAATACCATTAGTACATAAATACATAGGGCTCAAAGTTCTGTACAAACATTGTAAGAATAATTTATAGGGGAGCTCTGGTGGCCTAGTGGCAAGAAACTGCCCGGCAATGCCAAAAGCACATGGTTCTAGGCCACTAGCTGCTCCATGGAAGAAGGATGGGCAATCTCAATCTCCTCCCATTTGATTTGGTGTCTTTGAAACCCCACTGGAGAGTCAGCTATGGGTCAGTTCCGACTCTATGGCACACAACAACAACAACGACAACCTAGTCAAGCTACCTTTTAAAAAAAAATTTATACATATGCTTATTTTGTGGTGGTTTAGTAGTAAGGGATTATGCTGCAAAAGCAAAGGTATGTGGTTCAAATCCATCAGTTGCTCTGTGATAGAATTAATTGCCTCTGAAAATCTGCTGGAGGTTCTGACTCGATCGTACACCGAAACAACTACACTGTATTTTAAGAGAAGATGTTTCTCATACTCTAAAGGACCCTCTATGCCCGCTTTTCAAAACCACTAAACAGGTTTACTATTTTTATGCATAGACAGATCACTTAAACCTGAAACAATGTCCATTCTCTACTGTCTGTCTGCCAAGATTCTCTCCAAAGTACTCAACTGCTTTATGTGTAAACGACAAAGAACATCAACATTATTCCCTCACCATCTCCCACCACCCTTCCCTAACAAAAACTAAATTTATGGAAGAACATGAAGAATGAAAAGCAGAGGAAAAATATGGATAAAAAACTGAAAAGAACAAAAAGTAAATATTAACTCACAGCTGTTCTGTATGGGCTTATTTGTTTTAGAATTAGAAAGTTTTTTGAGAAGCTTTTTTCCTCCCAATTTCTAAACTATCACTTATCAAAAAAAAGATACACCCAATGACATCTAGTTGCTCAGTCTTTATGATATTCTAGTTCTCCAATATCAAAGAAACTCTTATCTTCCTTGGTCTAATAGTCCTACATTATAATGATCCCTCTAATAACAACCTGTCTTTTTCCCCCTCCCATTTCAGATCTTAGGAACTTATCCCACTCTTAGATTCATTTAGCAACTTTTCATAAACAAATAAGCATCATTATCTTATTTCTACATCTTCAATGTAGAAATTGCTCCCAAAAGATTTTCAATGGCTGTTTTTCAATGGCTCCCAAAGGTTTTCAATAGCTGATTTTCAGATTACCAGGCCTTTCTTCTAAGACATGTTTTGATGGATTCAAACTGTCAAACTTTCGGTAAGCACCCAACTGCATTAACTACTTTTATCACCCTGGAACTCCAATTTATTATAGGTTGTTGTTCTATACCATCGAGTTGGAAACAAGCCAGAGCAGATCCTCCAGAATTTCAGAGACAATAAATTACACAAGATGAAACCTTTCTCCCATGAAGCAGTTGGGTGATTCAAATTGTGTGCCTTTGGGTTGGAACTTACTAAGCCACCAGTGCAATGTTCCCTAATTTGTTACACAGTATTAGGCAAATAATGTGATATCTAATTAACAGTGACAATATAATGTTACAGAGAAAAGTTTTGTGTCTAATAGTCTGATAAGTAGAGAAAGCAGACACAAAGGAATAAACCCAAACCGTATCATATCCCAGTCCATACCTGTCCTCCTCTCGCCAGCATGCTAACCCATATAGTACTGGTGGGCCGGGAAGAATTCTCCAGACAGGATCTACACTCTCCAGTGTAGGCATACTTAGAATCCTTTTTGGCAAACACATAAACCGTGTTTGTTGCCATTTTTTCTTGAGCAATCAGAACCTTTGTAGACAAAAAATCTACAGTCATAAAATCTTGGGCCTTTCAAGTACAAAGAACAACATAATTAATCTACCTCTTAAAATAATCTGAACATACAGAATCTATACTTTCAGCTATCTTCTAATTCACCCAAACATCACTTAAATATTCATTCTTAACCCTCACCAATCATTTTGTATAAATACTTCAGAGAAATAAGTTCTAACTGATGAAATTCTTGGTGTCTATTATATAACTAAATAAAGTTGCTGCTTTGTTTTTAAATAAATTCACCAGCCAATCCCTAATCTAACTGCCACTTCCAGGTTATTTGGTATCTGTTTACCTTTTCCTTTCAATTTGAATATATACAAATTTTAATTCTATTTTATAATTTTTTAAGAAGATAATGCTACTATACCTTTTCAGATCCATTAATAATGAAATAGCCACCAGGATCCAAAGGGCACTCATTTAACTCACAAAGATCACGATCTGTTAAGCCATTCAACAGGCAGTAAGTTGAACGTAACATAATTGGAATTTTTCCTATAAAGGTTTTCTGATGTTGAGTGTGAAGTTGTTCTTCACCTTCTTTAATGACTGTCTTTGTTATGTCGACATAAAGTGGAGCAGAATACCTGTGAAAAATCAAAATAGGGCACAGGTAAGCAGTAATAGTGGACATGTTAGGACATAAACTCTCAACTAATTTAAAAAAGGTTACAATTTTAAGTACTACTACTTATTAGTTACCAACAATAAAAAAAACTTGTGTCTCACGTGAGATTTCTAAGTCTGGCTTCATTTGGCATCATTGGCGAGGGAGCACCATCTCTTTCCCAATGGGTCGGCTTGGAAAGATAAATTTGTTCAAACTTCAGCAAGTATCTTGGCTGAAATTAAACAGGAGGGGAAATGGTAAGACTATCATTTTCCCTATGAAGTTTTAATGATTCTGTTTTAAATTAATATCATCATTTTAACAGATGTGCTAAAAATATACCCCCTCAGGTAACTCTTTTCCACAACAACACAAAGGGCTTAAGGACTTTTCCTCTTGATTTTTTACTTTCTGTAAGCAGCAAGAGATTACATTTTCACATTGTACAGTATTACAGTTTTAGATTATAATATATAATATCTGAAGCAGTATGCATTTCTGGCTGCCTTCTATTGTTGTTATTATTATGTTTGTCGAGTCGCCTGGGACTCACAGTGACCCTATGTACAGCTCTGAAGCCTGCCCTATCTGGAGCCAGTCTCACTGACTCCAACACCCCTACCCCCATTAACCTAGTTACTGTAAGAGGTCTTCCTCTCCTACACTGTCCCTCCAGTCTTCCTAGCATGATGTCCTCCTCCACACGCCTTTTTTTAGTCAGCATATCTTTCCAAGTTCCCCTTACTAGCTATTAAATGCCTATTATATAGTGTAAATGGTTAAACACTCAGTGACTACTGGGAAGGTTGGCAGTGTGAATACACCCAGAAGCACCCTAGAAGGCCTGCCTGGCAGTCTAACTTCCTAAGAGCAAAAACCACTGAAAACTCCTGAGCGCAGTTCTACTTTGATACATGTGGCCACCCATGAATTGAAAATCAACAAGCAACTAGTCTATTATTAAAATAACAATAAGCTTCAGATTACCTGAGGAAAAAAAATCAATCTCTCAATAGTATGAATAATCAGAGAATGACAGACAGTTCTATAAGTACATGTTTAAATACCTACTGGTTTTTTGTTTGTGTGTTTGTTTTAAATCTTTCGTGCTGTTGAGAGGAGAAAAACTGCTATTTAAAACCAATACTCTTCTTTTACCTCTTTTACCTGCTTTTATTAGAATAAATATCTTACCGGTTCTTCAACTTCTCCACTGGCATGCTGAGCTTCAGCCTGTAGGTCTATAGGTGGAGCATCTTCCACAATTCTTTGAACAGACATTTGAATAAATTCATCAAAAGAATCCAGCTGTTGTCTGACCAACCCTTTCTCATCAAAATAAGAACTGCAAAAAAAATATTTTAGTTCATCATAATCAGTAACAACTCAGTGATGTATTAATCTCTGTTTTCAACTAAATTGAATTCAGTAAGTACTCATTAAATACCAACTGTATGCCAATTAGTTTACAAGGTGCCATGAAGTACTCAAACAAATGGTGAGATCAGGATCATTTTCTTTGTGAAACTTATTAAGCATTTGGTAACAACCTTATAGAAGTAAAATAATAAAAGCATCATATGAAAACTGTAAGAACTACTGATTTTTTAATTTTTTTGAGATTTTGATGAAACTTTATAGAGATCTTGGGTTTCCAATTGCTCATTATTGCATTTTCCTCCCGGCGCTCCCTCCCCCCCAGATAGCTTTCTACTTTGAGGAAAAAAGTTCTTTCACTGTTATACAGTCCGTCATCATCCCCCAGACCACTTTACTATGCAGCTCTTATTCTGGACTCTCTTGTCGTGCCAATAATACCTAATCATATATTCCTTTTATACAGTTCTCTCCCTCATCTGTTTCAATGCCATGTAGATTAGTTATTCCCTCTTTTTCTTAGTTTCCCCCCAGTCCCTAGGTCAGTCCTGTTTTTATAACAGTGGCATTATGCAGTATTTGTCTTTTTGTGACAGATATTTCAATCAGCATAATGTCCTTCAGAGTCACCCATTTTTAGTAATTCACAAGTTCCTTGTTTTTCAATGCAGCATAGTATTCCATTGTGTGAATATACCAAAGCTGCAATAAACATGGGTGTACATGATTTTTAAAGACAAATTTTATCTAACCCAATAATTTCTTGAAACAAGTGTCCAAAAAGAAAAGTTGAAAACTTAAAATTCTAATTCAAGTATGACTTGGAAGAGGACATGTTAGGTTCTGTCGAGTACAACCCCATAGCAACCCCACCAACAACAGATCTGAACCCTCCCAACACACTGTGGACCAAAGAGCCATCCTCACACCTCCTGACACACTAGGGCCCATCACAACAGTCACCACGTAATTCCACCTGGTCAAGGATATTCCTGTCCTTTGCCAATCCTCCACCTCTCCTAGCACCATGTCCTTCTCCAAGGAACAGCCCCTCCTAACAACCTGCCCAAAGTATGTGAGGCAAAGGCATCTTTGCCTCCAAAGAGTACTCTGGCTGTACACTCTCCAAGACATATTTGTTTGTTCTTTTAGTAGTCCTGGGACAGTCAGCCCTCTTCTCCAACCCCACAGCTCAAACGCATCAATTATTCTTCTGTCATCTTTAATCACTGTCCAACTCTCAGATGCCTAACAAGTGATCGGAAAGACCATGCCTGAATCTAAAGCACCTTAGTCTTCAAACTGACATCATTACTCCTCAATAATTTGGAGAGATCCCCAAACTCTTTAGCAGACATTCTTCAGGAGTGAAGACTAATTTGCTATTAAGAGTTACAAATTTAAAAAAAAAAAAAAGAGTTACAAATTAAATTGTCAGTTTATTTTATTTGTGGAGAACACTGTTCTAATTGGAACAACAGTTTGCTGTACTGAGATAAGTTGTGGTTTACTCTGATACTGAAAGCTGTGCCACAGTAAACAGGTTTTAGGAGAGCTCCCAGATTAAGATAGACTAGGACGAAAGACTGGCCATATCCTTCTTCAATAGCAGGCATCTGAAAACCCTATGAGCAGTGGAGGAAGAGGACGTGGAAGGAGCCATATTATAACTGGTCTCAGATGGATCACTGCTAAAATGCACAGAATAGTAGAATTAGATTTATCAGTTTTCTTAACTACACAAAGGTACTCAATTATGTAGAATGTAAAAACTTTGCGATAATACTGGGAAGAATGGGAATTTGACACTTAATTGTTAGTGCTCATACAGAACCTTTACAAAGATAAAAAGGCAGTCCCTTCAAACAGAAAAGGGATACTACATGGTTTAAAATAAGATAGGTGCAGAGTTCTATCTTTCTACCATATTCAATCTGTATGCTGAGCAAATTAACTCAAACAGAAAAAACTACATGCACCAGGAGCACAAAAAGACTCAGCAGCAGCCTGCAATGTGCACATGACAATCTTGTTGGGTGGAAGAGCTCTTGAAGCACTTACTGATGAAGGTCAAAGACCAAATCTCAAATACTGAAAACAAAAATCTTCATAGCTGAACTAATAAACATCGTGATAAATGAAGAACAGATTCAACTAGTCAAGGATTTCCTATTTCCTAGATCCACAATCAATGCCCAGGAGAACTGCAGTCAAGAAATCAAAGTATCTCTTGCTCTGGATCCTTCATCAGCCACATCATCTTATGACCTGCAGGTTTTGGGGTATAAAACTGCAGACTGCTGTCTGACCAGAAGAGTTTGGAATTCACCAGTTTCCACTGCCCAAGGCAGCTGCACCTTGCTGCCTGACCTGCCAATTTTGAGTACATCAGGCGCTGCAACCACATGAACCAGGCCAGGCTCACAGACTGACTCTGCATGTGTGTATTCAGAACATGCCAGCCTCAACAATAACATAAGCCATTCACATGATAGCGTGTGAGTTCTGAGATATTGCACAAATTAAACAATCCTAAAATAAGAGGTGTCTCCAACTGCTTGCTATGCATCTGAGAGCTGGACAGTGAATGAATAAGTATGACAGGAAAAGAAATTATGTCTTTGAGCTGTGGTGTTGGAGAAGAACACTGAATATCAAATGGACAGCTAAGAGAACAAACAGATATGTCTTGATAAGGATGCAACCAGAGTGCTCTACGGAGACAACACTGATGAGGCTACACCTCACATACTTTGGGCATGTTTTTAGGAGGGCCTATTCCTTTGAGAAGGACATGATGCTGGGAAGGGTGGAGGGTCGCCAAAGAAGAGGAAGTAGACTGACACGGTGACTGCTGCAATGCGCTCCTGTGTGTCAGGAAGTGTAAAGATGGCACAAGATATAATAGAAGTCAGATCTTTTGTTCATAGGGTCACTATGAGACATACTTGACTCGACACACCTAACAACAACAACAAAATAAGAGCAAGATTACCAAGGGGAGGAGGAGTGGTTGAAGTTAGAGATGGTAAGAGTGGTATAGCAGTTCGGGAAAGCTGGACATCTGGGACATCTTTGACTTGCTTCATAAGGACTAGCCTTCTGGTTGTTGTGAAAAGTGGTACAATGAAACATTAGTGGAATAGATTCAGTCTGCATTCTTGCCTTTACTACAGGGTATATGCCTAAGAAGAATTGCTAGTCATATGGCAGTTCTAATTCAATTTTCTAAAGACCCACCAAGAAATTTTTCCACAGTGGTCTTACCATTCCATACTTCTATCAGCAATGGATTAGGGTTCTAATTTCTTTAAAATTTTAACAGCAGCCATTATTTTTCTTTTTAAAGTTACTGCCATTCTAATTAAGGAGTGATGATAACTCAAAGTGGTTTTTATTTGTATGACCCTAATGGAATACACTGACCACAGTGACTGTGACAATAGGGTCAGGTGAGATTGGCTTGCCTGAGATGGTGAGGTTGGCTTGGAATAGGGCAAAGTTCAGAGTCCTTATTCATAGGGTTGCTATGAGTTGTAGTTAACGGCACATAACAACAAGACAACAATGCGAGCTCTGGGTGTTCGTTGCCAACTCAAAGGCTTAAGATTTGAATCCACCAGCTACCCTATGGGAAAAAGATAGGCAATCTCTTCCCTTGCAATTTACAGCATCTGAAGACCCACTACAGGGTGAGTCAGGTCTATTTGACAATATATAACAACAATGGCTAACTAAAGGAGGGGATCTCTGGTGTAAATCACAGAAAGCTGTGTTGTTAACCTAAAGGCTGCATGCCTTTAAAAGTTCAAATCCACTAGATTCAGTCTCCTCCTTTTACAAATTAAGCCCCTCAAAAATCAATGGAGGATCACTTAAGTCAGAAGGGTTCAATAGCAAAGAGTATTAAGTATTCTGAGTAAAGAGTTCCTGAGTAATATCAAGCACTTAGATGATACAGATACAGCTAATACTTTTTTTTTTATATACAGAGAGCGTGAAAAACAGGGGGCCGACAGTTCCCATGACTGAAGGCACCGAGCCATGCTTCTCTGAGTATTTATACAGAAAAGCAAGGAAGTACAAAACAAAGGATAATGGTGAAATCTTTTACAGATAAGGCCAAGTTCCTATTTATGTTAATAAGAACAATGTTGACTCCCAGGGAACACCATAGTGTCACAAAGTGACCTTCAGCTTGTATTAAGCCTCCCTCATTTCCCAATACAGCATTTGGTCTACTATTATTAAATCTGATATTCGGCTTCCCTCATCCTCCCCCCCCTTTTGTTTAAATCATAATTTTGTGATCATCAAGATGAGTATAACTTTTCTTCTTCAGGATTCATTCTTGCTTGTATATAATCAAACAAATATAAGAAAGCAAATATGAGAAAATAAGTTCACAAAAACATTTCCAATAAAGCAGCATTCCTTGAGGATCATTTAATATTCTGCCCAAAGCATCCCTGATTACAGCAACTCTAGGTTTGAACTTGTTCTTCAGCTCCTTGAGCTTAAGAAATGCTGAGCGAGTTCGGCCCTTTTGATTTTCCGACTCTAGCTCCTCGCACATTTCGTTGTAGTATTTTGCTTT